CGACGAACAGTGATCATTCATGGTATCCTGGCTTCAAGACCAGTGTAACATGCATGCTGCATTGACTGGCTGCTCCATGAATCACTTATTCGGTCCTGAGCATCCTAAGGGCATGCAGTGGGCCAACAGCAGGTGGTGACGGCTGGCAGAGTGACAGTGGGTGCGTGCTGAGTGCTGGTTCCATGATGGGTGCCACCCTAATGCTAGTGCCCCGAAGTCATTGCCACAAACACCACTAAGAGTCCTGCTGAGTCCTTGGGCTCAGAGAGTCAGCTAACTATTCAAGGTCATTTGTGTAGTGAATATCTCAGGTAGGCTTGAACTTGGCATCTCCCCCATAGTCCTTACTGCTTATCTGCCTAGGAAGAAGGCTCTACTGCAGCCTCCACAGGGCCACAAGCTCTCTCATAAGGGTCTCTCTCTGGGGTCCCTTCATGAAGACACACCACTGTGTTTCAAACCACGCTGGTTCTCAGTGGGCCTGATTCATCCTGCAGCTACATCTCTGAGTACTCCTTGCCAGTAGACACAAGCCTGGGGCGGCTGGAGCTCAGCAGCAACACCTACTGCTGGCCACCTGCCTGTGTCTCACTCGTTGTAGCATCTGCTGCAAAATTTTCAAGAGCAAAGTGCAGACGCTCACCTCCACCAAGGCTGCGGGGTCCTGACAGCAGAGGAACGTTAATTGCTTCCAGCACTGTGTCAGTTTGAGATGTTAACATGGAGCCGTTTGTCAACTTCCCTCTAAGCAACCATGTTTCCATGCTGGTGAGCCACCGGGCCCTGGGCTGTCTTCCCCAGAAAACCACGTCGCATCTCTGGGAGGGGAATGCTTTGTCCTTGATTTTTCTGTGGGTGGCCTTGCCATGGTGATGTCTCTTTTTTTAACCTGCTATAAATTCCTTTTGTAATCTCTCCTAAGCTGTCATATGGAGGGAGGGGGCTACAGAGAATAAATAAATCTGCAATAAGTGTGAGATTTGGGAAAGATGATAACATCAGAGTAATTTGAATGAACTTGGCAAATGAATTTAGAGCTCTTGAACTATCAGCTAATTCGACAAACAATGGCTTATAGAAGGACAGGCTATTTTTACAGCAATTCATTTTCTCTGCTTTCACGTCAGTTCAGTCAAGGGCTTAGTTAGGAAGGCACCTGCAAGCCAGATGGTCCTAGGATGCTGAGGGCAGTCGGCCCAGACCACACTGGAAGCTAGGTGGTCATTCTAAGGTGGCTTCAGTGGGTGCCTAGGGACAATGCCTATTTCTCCCTGTGGCCCCTGGGCCTGACTTGGGGATGTGGCTGTTGTGCTCTGAGAACCATGAATACTCTGCCCATTTTTTTTAATCCCCCAGGGGCTCCAGTTAGTCACTGTAATACATACAGTTCTCCAGAATCCTCAGACTCCCAAGTCTACTTTAGGGACTGAGTAGCTTCTCTCCTCCGCCGAACAGAGCTGAGGCTGTGGAGTCCATGCTGGGAGCCTATGTGTCTGTCCAGTTTTTAGTGGCCTCCACCCAAACTAGCAGCACAGCTGCAGGCACTGTGCAGTCACCACGCTCTGGACACATGCCCACGCATGCCTCTTTTTTGGCTGCTGCCCACCTGCCTCTGGCCAGTCCCAGGCCTGTTCAGCTCTGCAGCAGAACCAAAAACTACAGGTTCATTTTGATGAGTCTGCTTCAGGAGAGCTGGACACGCCTTAAGTCCCCTTAACGTTCACCTCAGGCACTGTGCACTTTGCAGCTCAGGTGGCTATAGAACCTCTTGGAACTTTCTTGCCCCACTGCTAGAGTAGGTGATGATAAAGCTGGCAGGCTACTTAAGCCAGGCTTCCTGCAGCTTTGTGCACCCCTGCCAATGCTGAAAGGAACTGTGGAGAGTTCCCCTGCAGGGTCCTGGAAGCCTCTCTCTTATCACATGGGTGTAAGGGCAATGCCACAGCCTTTCTGCATGCACCCCAAAGAGAGTCACCTCTGCCTCCACCCTCTGTCCTTCTCCATGCTGGAGGTGGGCACATGGCTTGGCTAGCTGATCACCTCTACAAGTCTTGCCTGGGTTGGGCCGTCCTCCTTCAGCAATGTGCGGGAGCTTTGCCCCTGTAGTCTGGCCTGCTTCAGCAGCATGGTGGCTGGGGGAGACCATCAGCGCAGCTAGCAGAGCCGTCAAAGGAGGATGCGCGGGAGTAAGCGGTGCCGGAGAGAAGAGGCGTGGCTCAGGACTGTGAGAGACGCCTGGAGGAGCTGAGACGTGCTTCCCCCCCACCGGTCTTCCTCGATGTCTTACCCTCCAGGAATGCTCATTTACTTCCTTCCTCAAAGGACTCATGACTGTACACTCTAGCTGGATGGAAGGTGCTTACAAAGAAGACCACACATTAAGCAGATAATTCATTAGTGTCTGACCACAAACATTTATTAGGTTCTCTGACAGCTACTGTGGGAGCCAAAAAGAGGACTAGGATACAGTTCCTGTTTACGAGGCTCTCATCACTGAGGGGGCAGCTGTCAACACAGAAGACTCCTATGGGTTGGACACGAGACAGGTGCTATAAAGGATGCGTATGATGTCTTGGGAAGTTAGAGGAAGGAACCCTAGTCTGGGCTGGGAGGGCCAGGTGCTTAGTTGTGTGGATGGCTTCCTACTGGTGACATGGCCTGCAGGTGGCACTGGCCAAGCAGGTGGGTCAGACCCTAAGTGCTGCTCATGGATACTGTTGAGCTGGGTTCACTTGGCTTCACAGTGAGAGCACCTGGCAGCTCCTGTCTTGCCATCTCCTCTCACAGTGGACAGCACCCCTTGGGTGGGGTTGTGGTTTGGACTGTGATCCCTCAAAAGGCATGCAGGAATCTAATTCTCGAACCTAAGAGTGTAGCCGTGGTCCGTGGCCTTTGCAGGCTCGTTCAGTTAGGGGATACCATTCTGCAGATGGTGGCGTGACCTAAAGATACCTGGGGTTCTGTCAGAAGGCAGCATGTGAAGACACATGGGCTCTGTCATGGCGCATGGGACAATGAAGCAGAGGTTGGAGTGATGCATCTTCAACCTAAGGGACACGGGGATGACTCTCCCAGAAGCTGGGAGAGGCAGGAAGGGACTGCCACAGGTCTGGGCCCACGTTCTGTTTGAGATTAAAAAAAGTGTTCTGTGGCTTTAAGCTTTAGGGAACTTTGTTGCAGCCTCCACAGGAGGGGTAGGAAGGAAGCTGGTCTCCAGGATATGCCTACCTGCTGAGTAATTTTATGATGCAAAGATTTGAAGTCAGTTGAAAATCCACAGTAAGAGACACATTCTAGAAAGAGAGAGGAAAAGAAAGAGAGAGAGAAAGGCCTGACAAGGGGCAGATAAGGCACAGGGACTATTGTGTCTGATGTTTTCTTACACCATTGACACAGCTTTACCCAATGAAGTCAGTCAAGATCAACAGTTTCCTGGAAAAAGCAGCTTGTCCCTCAACTGACTTTTAAAATGGGAGTGTATCCAGGAGGGATGCCAGTTATCTCCCTGCTCAGGACAGTCCTGGACTTTCTGGACCGTGTCCCTCCGGCTTAATCTTGTCCTGACTGTCCAGGATGAGGCACAGGCCAGGACAAGGGCCCAGAGACAGAGGAAGCCCAGCAGCTGGACTTGGCTCTGGCCGCAGCTCCCTCTGATGCCCTCTGTTGCCCCCCATCTCCTAACAAAATAGTGAGGGTTTGTCGGCTACCGTTCCCTGTCCTGTCCCACCCTATACACTCTCTCTCCAGGAGAGAGGGTCCTGACTCAACTCTGAGTGCAGCTGTGTTTTTCAGGGTCCACGTGAGTGGGTCGCTCTCACAGTTCTGTTCTAACTTCTTAACTTCTAGGCCTGTGGTCAGAAATCTATAGGGCATCTATAGGAAATATTCATGGTTCTCCTCAAGGGTACAATTAGAGCCTTAGGCTTGGGCAATCACATGACTTGCTTTGGAAGCTGAATTGGGCATGGTATTTCTGGCTTCTCTAGGAGCCAGAATGGGAGGGGTTGGGAAGGTGGTCCCCGTCCCCTCCCCCCCCACCTACAACACCAACCTTGCTTTAGGTGGAGGCAGGGCCTGGAGGCAGGATAAGGGATGGAAGCTGACCCAAGTATCTACCCTTGTCTGTTGGACTTTATCTGTGACCTGTGGCCTCTCAATATAGCAGCAACTACCGACTCCTGACAGATTCAAAAATACTCTTCTGCAGTAACAGGCAGGCTTTCTGACAAACCTTTGTCCTCCATGCAGGCCAGAGGTTGTTGGGCGGCAGAGTCTCCAGGAGGCTCAGCTGGCCATTCACTTGTGATGGATACCATGCCCCTCTTCTCCTGACATACCCCCACAGCTGTCTCTGAGAGGCCTGCCTGTGCCTCTGATGAGAACAGAAGGCAAAAATTGGTTAAGTAGTGTTCTAGTTTGTTTCTCTATTGTTATAACAAAATACTCTGACCAATACCAACTTGGAGAGGAAAGGGTTTATTTAGCTTACATCTCCTGGGTCACAGTTCATTAGTGAAGGGGCCCGAGGTAGGAACTCAGGGCAGAAACCTGGAGGCAGGAGCTGAGTATAGACCATGGAGGAGCACTGCTCACTGGCTTGCTCCCCTGGCCCCTGCTCAGCCTGCTTTCTCATATAACATAGGCCCACCTACCCAAGGTGAACTGGGTCCTCCCACCTCACTCAACAGTCAAGAAACTACCCCACAGACATGGCCAAAGGCCAGTCCAATGGAGGAAATTCCCCAACTGAGGCTCCCTCTACCCAGGTGTGTCAATTTGGCACTAAAGCTGTCCAGCACAGGTGGTTGAGGGTAAAAAGACACCCAAGAAAAGTGACCAGTTTCTTTCTAGACTAAAAGCTGCAAACACCCTTCACTTGTCCTTGCTGGAGGCCAGAGGTACCAGAAGTACCTAACCTAAGGGTGTCTCTGGTTCTGCTATTGCCAGAGACTGGGGGTGACAGAAAAGGGTCTTTTAGACCTTATTTCTTTTCCCTAAAGGGGAACCTGTTCTTGGAAACCAGGAGGGACCCTGGACAGCTGGAATGGGAACTGGACTGACCAGCTCGTCTCCTCCTTCCTCTCTAACCACTGATGCTATTAACTCCAGGCTGTGAGGTTCAATGGAATTGCACTCCCAGGGACTCTCCTGCTGTACAAGTCTGCCTTTTCTCTCTCCTAAGCTCCCTATAATAAAATACTTCTTTCAAAAACTTTCCCTCTGTGGCCTGTGGAGTCTATGCTTTGAATTCTTGAGACCAGAACCTGAAAGCCTCTGGCTTGAGGTGGCTTTGGTGGCTGCTGAATTTCCAGGATCCAAGCCTCTAAGGCTAACAGAACTGAGGAAGGCTCTCAAACACAGCTAGATATTCCTGTATTACTGCCACTTGGGGATTTCCCATGTAGCATTGCAAGCCCAGAGACCCCCAGGGAGGAGTGTCCTGAGGAGTGGGCCCTCCGCCCCAAACTGCCTGTGAGTCCTTTTTGCCCCGCCTCAGGCTACCTGTCCTTAGTGCTGGTGCCTCCCTACCAGGCCATGCCCAGTTCCAGGGGCCCCTCCCACTCCGAACCAGCCGCAGCGGAGCTCTCTGATGCTTGACAAATGCTAAGCTAGGTTTTCATGCTCAGAGATCCACTGCAAAGCGCCTGGCCGCTCACTAGCATTTGACAGGGAGGAAGAAGTCACGGCACTGTGGTAATTCACGTTCACTTAGCTAAAATGATGCTCACTTCAAATGTCGTGCTCTGCACAAAACACTTGGGGGTGGATGTTTCCAAACTGGCTTTTAGTTTCTGAAGAATTTAGATGGTTGGACTGGGAAACATGTTTATTAGCAAAGCTTGCTTACAAATAGCAGCCTGAAACTTTTCATTTTAGCTTGTCATTTATAGACAAAGCATAGCAGCTAAAACATAAACTTTTAAATTGAAGGGTGAGAATATTAAATGACAGCTCACTAAAGCATCTTTTGTCTATTAGCGGAGATGTAGCACCTAGTTAAATTTCCATTTCCATTTTCATAGTATTCCATTCCCAAACTAAATATGAAACATTATTGTTGCATTTACTTTTCATGAATCACATCTTTTCTTACATAATTAACCTATAGTAAATTTAAAAAGCATATATCACACATTAAACTGAACAGCATCAATATTTGACTTTATATATTATCAATATTTTAAAGATCATGTTGAATGAATTTTACAATTTTAAAAGCTACTAATCTGAAATTCACTTAAATTTCACTTAAAATGATCATTTCCTCCGTATACTATAAAAAAAAACAAACTATTAAAAAGAAATCCATGGGTAAAGGCGTCTCTTCAGTAACTGGTGCTGGGGAAACCAGCTCCTTACTCAGAAGAATGAATTTGGGCCCTTGTCTAACACCACACACAAGAGCTAACTCAAAATAGAGCCACAGTTGAGTTCAAGAGATAAAACTATTGACCCTGGAAGAAAGCACAGAGGGAAGTCTTCCCAGCAACAGATCTGACAACGATTTCTTGGATATAATTTTAAAAACACAGGCAACAAGAGAAAAACTAGGTAAGTTTGGTTTCATCAAACTTGAAAAATGTTCATGCACAGAAGGACATTATCAAGCGATTAATTATTGACCACAGTATATTGGGAGCCCTTCAAGTTCCACATACACACAGTCTAGTTCAAAGCGGGCAAAGGGCTTGAAGGAACATTTCTCCAGAAAGCACAAATGGCAAACAGGTATGAGAAGATGCTCGGCACCTCTGATGAGGGAAGCACAAGTGAGACTGAGGCGGCGAGCCGCTCTCACTAATCAGGGTGGAGACTGTAAAGAGGAGCGTGTACGTAGTAAGTGCTGACAAAGGGGTGAATTTGGAGCTTTGGGTGCTGCTGTGGAAACGCAAATGGACAGCTAGCGTGGGAACCACGTGATGGGCCCTCAGGTCAGCACAGAGCCAGGTGACTCAGTGGAGCCTCTCCTGGAGCTGAAAACAGGAACCCTAAGAAGACATGTCTGCACACCCATGTTTATACCAGCATGATTCCAAAGCCCAGCCAAAGTGGGAGGCAATGCATGGATGAGCAAGATATGGTTCCTTCCCTTAAGGAAGGAAATTCTGTCAATTTCCACAACACCATGAGCGTTTTATGCTCAGTGAAATGGAGGAGTCACTAAGGGATAGGTATTGTACAAGCCTACTTTCACAAAGTACCAGAGGCTATCAGGTTCATAAACTAAGAGGAATAGTGAGCACTGGGGCTAGGAAGGGGCCTAGGGAGTCAGGGTTGAGTGGGGACAGAGTTTCAGTTTGGGAGAATGATACAGTTCTACAGATGGATGGTAAAGATGGCTGTCCAACATTGTATACTTGATGTGGCTGAACTGTGCACTTTACAATGGCTGATGTAAGTTTTATTTTGCAAAGTTCATTCTAATTAAGTTGAGGAAAACCCATAGGGACTTCTTGTGACTGTGGATTATTGAGAAAAGGGCTGGAGAGACTGACTCCACAGCATAACAGAACTGGGAAGTGTTGTGCCATGATGGGTTAGCAGATTAGCCCTATGGCGCTCCAAACACATGCACCTTCCAGGGTCAGGGCCTAGGACAGGGAAATGCTCATGCTCCCCAGGATGGGCAGCACATGGCGACTTTCGGTTCACTAGACAAAACAGCTTTAAAGTTCAAGGCTCATTCAAACTGGATTTTAGAAATACAAAATCTTGAACATTTGTACCCAACTAAGGGATTACTCTCTTATTCTCAGAAAAGCTTTTGGAGAGGTAGGGGAAAAGGTAGCTCAAATTTTAAATTGGGTCCTCCAAACCTGCTGTCTGTGGCTTTCCTCTGCCTATTATCAAAAGGCAAAATGTCTCAGACTATTGAAAAAGGATTTGCATAAATTGCTTTCACCTGCTTCTTATAGGCGGTTAATGAAACTGGAACAGAAAGGACGGGCTCTCCACTCAGGCCAGCCCACACACCCCAGAACAGACACCGTCACAGACCTACTGAGCTCAGGCTGGAGGCTTGTCCCCCAAGCCCCCCTCCCCCAGAGTCTTCTCTCCAACCTGGGATGCAGGTGGGAGAGGCAGGCGACGAAGCGCTCCTGCATAACTGCTGCTTTTGGCCTTGTGAATTCAGGTGATGACATTGGGACACAAGAGCAAACAGGAAGGACCCAGGAAACACCCCAAGTCAGTAATGACCTGACATACTAAGCTTTTTTGGACAGAGGCTCTGTTGTACAAGATACAGACTATTGTATGAGCTTTCTCCTAGGCCGCCTCATAGTTGAAGAAGGGATTAGAGGAGGGCTGGCTCTTCTCTCCAGCCTGGAGGCTCAGTTGGATTTCTCAGCTGTGTGGACCCCAGGCCTGAGGGGCTGAGCCCACTGAGAACTCAGCCTTGAACTCATTCCTATTTTTCTAAGGTGACTTCTCTCTGAGGAAGCTGCTGCTGTGGCACAGAGGGACCTTGAGGCCCTCAGAACTTCCTCCAGACAGGCTGGGATCTGGAGGCTCTGCCTCTGTTGGCTTTCCTCCTGGCCCTTGGGGGGTGGAGGGTAGGAAGGACACAGGGTGAGGACCCCAAGGCACCACACTCATGAGGGCCATGGGAAAGCATCGCCACTCCAAGGCAGAAGCTGGTACGCAGCCAGTGGCAATGGTCACAACGCCAGGGTCACTGCCCTCTGGGGGCCAAAGTGGGGGCAGCTAAAGTGCAGGGGGAGATGGTGTGACATTTAATCGTGCGCCAACTTGACTGAGCCATTAAACTTGATGGCCGTCCTCTCCTTTCCTGGGGATCCTGGGCAGCCAAGTATGAATTGTGGGATGGCGGCATTAGGGTTTGGGGATGAAGCTATTTCTGCTGTAGACACAGGGGAAGACCAAGGCCGTTTCTCCTTCACCTGCCAGTCCTCCTCCTATCTTGATCTGCCGCAGGAGCACTTCCTGGTAAGGGTGTGACTGTTAGCCTGTGCAGAAGTTAGGAGGCCCCTGTGCTCTCAGGGAAGTGCCTGCAGGACTCCTTTAACAGTGTGGCTGTGGTCACATGGCTGGCCTGCTTTGCCCTGTGGCTATCGCCCTTGGCACAGGGTCATTCCCTTGGCTGGGCCTTCCTATACCCTGAGCTGTGGCCCCTGATTCTACCCCATCCCACTAAGCCTAGCACCCCTATAAAGCACAAAGCTGCAGCCACCGGAGCCAGTCACAAGAACAGGTCTAGAGCCCAAGAAGTGGCCCTGGTCTGGCTCTTTACTCTTGCTCTCCAGGCCTGGCTCAACGTTTTTCCCACTTCTCCAAATTCTCCACAAATTCCAGCCCCCTCATCACAGCAGGTGTCGCCTTAATGGCTCCTCATCTAGCTCTTCTTAGTGAGGGGTCAGATCCTGTGTCCTGTGATGCTTTCTTGCCGCAGGACAGCCCTTCCCTGAATTTCTGCATCCCTTGGTTCTTACCCTGCACTGGGTTATGTGACAGGAAGAACAAAGCATGGATCTCAGCAGCAAACCTGTCTTATCCCTTCATTCCCTTAGAGCTGCTACCAAAGGCTGGGGCCTAAAGCCAACATCTCATGGCTCAGTGGTATGGCTACATGGTTCCTCCTGATGGTAATGTTCATTCAGTTACCCCTTCTTATCTGCAGAGGGTAGAGCAGACATGCTACAAGACACCTACGGGGTGCCTGAAGCCACAGAGTACTAAACCCAAGGGTCACTGTTTCCCTATTCATCTGCCCCTAGGATAATGTTCAGTCCCTAAATTAGGAACAGAGATTCACAACCAACCAATAAAATATGGTGATTATGAAGGCTGGAGAGATGGGTCCACACTTAAGGGCTCTTTTGCTCTTCCAGTGGACACAAGTTTGGTTCCCAGCACTGATGCCACATGATTCACATCCACCTGTAACTCAGCACCAGGGCCTCCGATGCCCTCCATTGGCTTCTGTGGGCACCCACATATATGTGGCACACACACAAATAAAATAGGATGATTATAATATACTGTCATAAAAATTTCTTAAAACTTACAAATTGTCTGTTTCTAGAATCCTCCATTTAGTATTTTTGGACTGCAGTGGACGGTGGGTAACTG